CCAAAAAGCAATGTCTGAAAATATGGCAAGTAAGTTGCATATTTCAAGACTAGACTAGAACAAGATACTAGTAACCTCTCACATTATTCTTTTCAGCACTGTTTTCAATGCATTTCTTTTCCTGTATTTAATAAACTGTCGATTTCATTGACATCTGATACGTCTACAATGATAGTGCCCCGGCTTTATAGTACGATAAGATATCTGTATAAATAATAAATAAGGCGGACAGACAGCTAAAACATAAAAAGTTTCATTTATTGAACAAATTATAATCGTCGAAAGTTTGATCGAGTATTATATTGATTCTCTGATTTTTTGTTCATTGAAGAATTAATTAATACAAATCATGAAATTATGAAACAACAACAAAAATTAATTGGCGCTCCGGGGCGACTTCATTGATTCCAGTGGCGCATTTGCTTTTTCGGCTGCAGGAAAACCCGGAAAAAGGTGCGGCACCACATCATCTCAAGATCTTGATCTGCCATTGTCCTCTCTTTCATGAAACAAAATGTAGGTTGTCTCCAAAGGCTCCAATAAATTCAAAACATCGCCAGAACACTTCATGACACGGCTATCGTCAAACCAGTCCGTTTCGTCTTTGGCCAAGGCGTAATAACGACCAGATTCAACGCCAGAACCACAGTGAACAATGACTGCATGAAGATTATAATAGTGGTCTGCTAGATTGAAGTGTTCATCTATTTCGAACCTTCGTAAGAGTTTGGCGCTTCTGTCAGAGATTGAGTCATGTTTCAAGATCATCAGTGTCATTATTAGATTGACTAGTGCCTAAGCTATACTTATATACATACAGTTGATCATCACCCGTTAAAAGTTCCATTTTCAGATGATTTAACAATAAGCTTTACACGGACTGGTTATCAGTCATATTAGGAAACGCTAGTTGAAGTTCCAGAAAATCGCATACGTTTTTGCTACCTCTTGAATATTTACTACAAAGTAGACAAGTGAGGATTTTTCCAAACACAAGACGAGATAGACTGTACGGAATCACTCAATCCAGAACTCCAGAGCTCACGAACAGTATTCAACAAGATCCCCAAGAATTCGTGGCAATCCTCTTGTCGTCCTAACGAGTATCTACTGGACTTCAAAGACTCCAGGAAATTGGTTGGTGGGAAAGATTCTAAGTACATTCTTTCGAAATTGCAACTGCATGAATTGTTTGAGTTTGGTGAATTATTAGGAAACATTCTCTGATTTTTTAAGACAAATTGTTTATTAGACCAGTTTTCACTGTTGTTGGTTATGTATGTATGTATGTAAGGAAAAAGCTCTTTGTAGTTTTGGTGATTATAAAGCTTTGGGTAATGATGGTTAGTTCCATTTAATGTTTACCAGTAATACATGAAAATATTTTGTTATGTTTTTCATCAGCAATCTTGTGATAATTGTTGAACCTATATGAGTGATTGAAATGTTTGCATAGTAATAATTCAGTTTATACGATTAATGTTCGGGTGCACCAGTTTCCAAATTGCATGAGAGTTTGCATCAACCAAGATTATATAAGCATAGCTACAAAATACAGAAATGAAATTTCAATACAAGGGAATTTGATTAGCACTATACAAAAAAACAGTATCATTTATTGTACAATTATAACTCAAAGAGAACTAATCAAACATCTGTGATAATTCAACAAGTTTGGTATCAATTAAAAAGACTAAACTTTACTAAATACCTTCCAGTACCATTACTTCAACAGTAATTTGCATCAGAATAAAAATTCAGTCAATTACGGATTGATAAATTCTAAACACAGCCTTTTGATACTGATACGTTGGGTTATATGTCCAAGTAAATCGAACTAAGACATTTCGACCTAGTGGTTCGATCTCACCAATTCAACCGAGGATGATTCAACCCCAGTGTTTGAAAAGATATTTAGTTGTTGGTAAAGATTGTTGTCATGGAACCGATAGAAACTCGATTGTCAGTCTATACTGGTATGAACATTAACATTATATTATAAATACTTATGAATATTGAATATCCAACTACAAACTTTATATCAGAAAATAATTTTGTTAGATCTGATAAACTTTCTCGAGTACCTGAATTATGTTATTACAAATTTTTATTGTTTGTTTATTTACACTGGCATCTGCTTAGTTTGCCTAAAGATAGCATAAAAACTATTTTAGTCTCTCGTTGAGGCAATCGAGCAGGTTTGTTAATATAAAACATATATTGTTTGGAGATGAATTTGGAGTTAACGATTAGCTACCTATATTTTTTATATTGAAAAAGAGATATTTTTTTCAGTATAGATACGTTTTCAAGATAAAAGCTGTCTGGTTTTCTTCGTCTCCAAATTCATTCAAAATATGTGAGAAATATCTGAAAGAAAGGAAAATAAAATTGAATCCAAAATAAACTTTTTAGAAAGATATGTAGATCATGCATGTGAAAGTGATTTTCTTCTAGTTTGAATCAGAAAGTAACATACTCTGCATTATTTTCAGATCTTTGAAATTGAATGGTTTTTTCCTTCATTCAGGTGATTAGGTTCCATATTATTTGTATAAAAATGGAGAAGTAGTAAGCCAAAAGGTTCTTTCTGATTTTTTCTATATTTTTTGCACTATTCGTGCAACATCAAAACAGGATGATCTAAATTTACAATTATATTTCTCACCATATCATGAAATGAAATCTCACGGCTTTAACGATTCTAAATACATTTCGTTCCTGAATGTATACAATAGATATCGCTTCGAGGGTGAGTGCAAAGCACCCTGACACATTATCATTTTGTAGCAGACAAAATCAATGTGGCCAGACACACGTTCATAGATTAAAAGGGCTACCGGAATTGTAAGTTAGCCCATAGGCGTACGTACAACAATGACTTTTGCATTTCAACAGTACTTTCAAACAATGTCTTTCTGAAAAGAACTTGTTTTTCGATATGTGTTAAATTATTCGGTTGTCAGTGTCAACACTGCAAATCACGTTATTGTAATAAATGAAGTATTGAAATAGTCGATCTCAGCAACTTTCCAACACAAAAACACATTTTCTGAAAACTTTTTTACGTACTCTCCTGATTCAGTAATATATTTCTAAATGTTAACTAACATCCTACCCTATTTTAATTGGGACCTTGCCGCTATGGAAAACAATTCCACACAAAATATAAAAACTTCATTTCGAAATATACAATATTTAACAATCTTTCAGTGCCCTGGATTCCGATGAAATCAGTATAGCTGTAAATAAAAATTTGATGAAATTAGATATTACACTCCTGGAACTTAACAGAAACATATTTGGAAATGAAGTTTTTATATTTTGTGTGAGAAGATCATATGATATTTTTGCCATTTTTGCTCTTTTCTGAAACTTTTCAAATAAATATTTCCTTTATCTATATTCCTTGCAACCATGTAGGCAGATGAATTAAACTATAAAACTTTCTGAAACTATTCGAAATCAAGATTTTGTAGACGTAGTTTTATGTTGGACTTGTGCACGTGTCTTATTTTTCTAAGAAAAACTGAGAAATCTTATCAACGATTACATGAAAGTGAGTAAAACTTCCGAATCAATTTGGTTAAATTGAAGGGGTACAATTTGTTGTAGAAAGGTTCACTCAGACTCCATTCAGCTTTCACCAGGACTCGGTAGGAACCCCGAGTCTGTGACTTTCCCAACGCTCATGATTTAAAACTCGCGTGGGAGCGACGATCGACGTCCTTTTGTTCAATTTATTATTCCACCCATGTCGTGTGTAATAACCACCCTTCAACTAGTTCGATCCGTGTGACACGTGCCAAATTTTATAACAACTAAGCCCGAAGGCTATTCGATTCGAAATTTGGAGAAATATATTTACTTGCGCTCATCGGGAACGTGAGAATAGATTCCAAGCAATACCATTTTCCTATGGAAAGTAATATTAGATATTTACTTAATACAGGATGTTCAATGAAATCTAGTTTCCTAAGATATAGATTCAAAAATATCAATTTATATAAAAATAGCTCAAAAGTTGTCAAATTATTGATCTCAAAAAGTACCTAACCACAGAAAAGTTTCCAATGGTATATTCAAATTTTACTATTCAATTGCGATTGAAATCAGTTTATATACGTTTGAGAAGTTGATTGAATATCACACAAAGATCAAAAATAGACAGTTTAACAGTTACGAATCATGAAAATTTACCGGAAGATCACAATTAATATAGTAATACCAAAGGCATATATCTGCCCGTTCTAGATCATCTGGAAAGTTGAAAGATACCTTCATCATTTTTAAAAATAAAACGAGTTTGGTATCTGAAACACCATTTTGTTTTATTATGAAAGGTGTTCTTATTGTTTCACGTAAACATAGGATTTCATTTTGTTTTTCTTTACTAAATCGAGTGTTCTTAGTGTAAAACCTTTTCCAAAAATTACTAAATCTATATAGTATAATATATTAGAACAATACAATCAGTTTTTTTCAATTTTTTTAGTTTTTCATTTGATGGGAAAAATATTATGTACACTATGTTTTTTTGCAGATCAGTCTAGCATTAACAAATATCTTTATTTAAATCTGAACCGCTGGATATCAACTCCATGAGTGCGGTTTGATTACAGAAAATGCAACTCCCCTGATATATTATTTCAATTTGTCAAGTAGAACTTCTAAATATGTTTCTTTATGGGAATTACTTTTGAAACACCCTGCACTATAGCAGTTACAGTGTTTGGCAAATCATTATTTGGTTTCCAATGGATGAATGCTTCAGTATTACTCCGTAAATATCCTTATATCGTGGAACACTTGTAAATATTCATAATTTTGCACATAAGGCTAATTTGAATATGTCTCTTGATGTCACCTGTCAAGAATACCAACAAGTAATAAAGAAAAATATTTAAAAAAGATTTCATGCACCAAAACCCAGCTAAATACCGCATCTGCATCACTTATATATTACTGAAAGTATTATTTGCAGATCCCAAAATAGAAGATATTCGAGTGCCCCAAGGTTGGCCCATACATCAAGCAGTCTGAACTCTGAACGGATATTGACAAAACTAGTTCAAGGAACTAACTTGGTGGTAGGTAATTATGGTCGCGATTGTACGCTATTATGACGTCACAATACTATCACAAGCGCCGGTATAAGGGATTCATTCTGAACATTTTAAATTTCATTTCAGTTTTCTGAATATTTTTGGAAGAGGGAAATATTTCACAATCTTCATTGGTGTATAAATATGATGGTTGTTTGAAATTGTTTCGTTACTCAGTTTTTCAATAATTGAGACCGATTCACTTAACGTTTTTGGACTAATACAACAGATATTTATAGAAATAATACTTTAACGAAAAAAAACAAAATCATTACTACAGAACTTTTTCATTTGAAGGTACTACCTTTGTATATATACAAAGATACTGCCTATAATTTTCTAATTTATGCAGAAAACCCCAGGTCTAGTAGAAAATAGTGGTAATGAGATAACGTAAAGAATATTGAATATTTTGGAATTTGTAACTGGAAACTTTTAAAGCAGTTAATGAAAACCGAAAATGGTTTCAAGAATTATAAGTATTAATTCAGACCAGATTTTGCAACAATAGTTTTGAAATGTATCGTTATATTTTCAGTACATTATAGCTGGACAAAAAGCAACTGAGTTAATTATATTAATATTATGATCAATTGTTCAAATTATTGTCAGAAGTTCTGAATGAATATGATTATATTATTTTTTTTGACTGAATAAACGTTAACATAAATTGAAGGAAATAGGTGAAATGAAGTATCGAAAAAACTGGTACCGAAAGTCGTTAGCAAACTCTTTATCCTAGCCACTAGTACAGAATATATGAAATGTATATTGAAGTTCATATGTTAGTAGAAACTGAAATATATGTTTCTTATTTTAACCTCGTATTAGTTTCCAACACGTAAAATGAAATTTATTGCTAATCAGTGTAAATGAATAAAAAATATCAATAAAAATATCATATATAAAAAAGTAAGTAAACATGTTAGTAGAAACTGAAATATATGTTTCTTATTTTAACCTCGTATTAGCTTCCAACACGTAAAATGAAATTTATTGCTAATCAGTGTAAATGAATAAAAAATATCAATAAAAATATCATATATAAAAAAGTAAGTAAACATTCAATTAATTAATGGATGTAGCCGTAACTACGTGTTAGGAGATCATGATGAAAAGAGGAATGAAAATTTCTATGTTTTTTACCACTTTTATTTGTTACTAACGTTTCTGCAGTTTCGTCCTATATGGACATTCTCAAACTTGAACAATAAACTCTAAGTAACGAAACTGCAGTAACGTTAGTTACAAATAATAGTGGTAAAAAACATAGAAACATTCAATTCATGGACTAGTGTATATGTTTTTCATTATTATGTTCGATAATTTATTTTTGATATATTTCATTGGAGTATGCGATGAATTGTAAATATTATGGAATGAACACGTGCAATATTTTTCTCGAGTTCCAAATTTCAAATCTCTTTTTAAACAATAACAAGGGGTTCTCTATGAATCACTGCAAAAAATATTTTCGTAATACAATAATTCATAATGGAATGACCATCACATCAGTGCACGGTGACTTTTTGGGTAAGCTTTAGGCAAATTATTGGTTATGATATTGTGAATAAAGATGAAATGAAATAGATATATTTCATAATTATTAAATTGTGATATAATTCATATATAAGTTTATCAAAACTGAATGAAAATCAATAATTGAAATGATTCATCAATAAAACTAATGTCTCGTTAGCTTCAAATTATTCAAGATTATAAATCATATGGATTACTTAATCATATCAAACACCATAGTAATGAAAAATATTTTCTATTGTTTGTTCTTTTGAATAATCACCACTTTTGCAGTGCAGTCCAGTCGAAAGAAGCCAACATGAATGGAAAATCGTAAAGCACTCTATTTTTCACAGGGGGGCACGTTTCTATGTGAGCATCAACTCCTTGTAGGTCACTCCCATTAACAACATTAACCTGCATACAATGGTACAAAATAGCCTTTGTTTCTTCCTCACATTCTGAAGTGTACCAAGTGTTATCCTGGTCAATTCTATCCGTAAATTATCTATCGTAGATAGATGCGTCTCCTACCCATAAAAAGTCCAGTGGGTTCAATTTTGTACATCGACCCAGAAACGTAACTATCTTTCTGACGACAATGAGAAGAAGATCAATTTTGTTAAAAAACTTCCTCATTTCGCAATAGAGGACTTAACTGGCTGGCACTGTTAATACCTGGCATAATTTGCGTGGCATTTTGTAACGGTGTGATATGTGTCGATGAAGAATTCTGAAAACATTTGCAGACCATTTCGTCAAACGCTTGCGTATTTTCCATCAATATCAACGTGGTCTAAAACTGCAACATTAATAACTATTCCTGAATTTATTTAACAGTTTCAATATATATTTATGCCCGGATGATGCTCGTGGAAAATGTGAGTAGTAGTATTTGCAGATATTCTTTATTCGTAGTACAAACCCAGTATGTCAGTCTGCTTTTGTAATGGAGAAACCACTTTTTATGAAATGAAAGATACTGAAAGTAATAATATAGGAATGTAGGCTTTCACGGATGGCGTCAATATTTTGGTTAGTTTCTTGGTTTTACCGTAATCATCTTTGGTTATATTCTCCAAACGTTTCAACTGCAACTGTGGCAATCGTTTTCAGTGGTTTGATCGTATTACTCTTCTTGACGTGTCAACTGAAATCATAAGAAGTCACAGTGCTGACGAAAGTATCATTATTCTGCCTGAGGACAAAGGAAACGCAACCGTGGTATTGGACGCTTCGAACTACAAAAGCAAACTCAATAACCATTTCAGTCTAGAAACATACAGAAGATTACAAAAAGACGCAACAGAGAAAATCTTGAAAAAGACCAATCAACTGATAAAATAATCTTCATTACCACCAGAGACAAAGAAGAAACTTTGCAGATCGGAAACATTACCACCGAGGTTCTATCGATTACCAAAAATTCACAAGGAGGATGTACCAACTAGACCGGTATCAAGTGTCATACGATCACCAACCTGCAATGTCGACAAGCATTTGTTGGATATGCTGCAGAAACATGTTAGGAAGACTAAGACGTACGTCCGAGACTCCACTAACTTCATCAAACATTTTAAGGCATTACCTTGGAGCCAAACGACATTTCAGTTAGCTTCGATATTGTATCCTTATTCACAAGTGTACCATTAAAGGAATTCCTCAGCTACATAGAGGAGATCTTTCCACAAGATATCAACTTATTTCGATATTCACTTACGACAACTTATTTTCAATGGAATAGAACCTTTTATGAACAAGTTGATGGAGTCGCCATGGGCAGTCCACTTAGCCCAGTAGTGGCGAATGCCTACATGGAAGAATTTGAAGAAAGAGTCATTCAAACATCAGAAAAACTACCGAAGCACTGGTTAAGATATATGATACGTTCGTTATTTGGAGCCATGGAAAAGAAGAATTTCAGAACTTCCTAAATCAACTGAATAGTTTTCATCAAAAAATCCAGTTCCCCATGAAGTTAGGAAAAAACCTCTATATCCCATTCCTTGATATTTTAGTCTCCAAGGAAGTAATCAACTAGGCCATAAGGTGTATAGGTAGAAAACACACACAGATCGATACCTGAATAATGGATCCAACCATCATCCAAAACAGAAACGAACCATTATCAACACGTTAATGAAAATAGCATTGAGGATAGGTGAAGAAAGGTACGTCGACGATGGAATAAAACAACTAACAACTATGTTACAAGCGAATGGCTACAACAGAATAGACATAATCCGCGCTACGCGTTCATGGGGGAAGGCACTGTCTATCTACCATAAATATAAGGTGTCACCAACCAAATCGGGAAAATTCTAAAGAAGGAAAAAATTAACACAGTCTTCGAATAAAAGGATTCCATGTAACTGTGTTGTGAAGTCTAGATCGGTCAGACGAAAATAAGCATTGGTAACCCCCTAGTGGAGCACAAGCGGAGAGGCCGATTGGGACAGACCGAGAAATCTGCAGTCCTCGAACATGCACTGTCTAATGGGGAACACAAGATCCTGTTCGAAGAAACCGATAAGCTAACAACGTCGAATCATTATTCAACAAGAGAACTTCAACAGAAAGAAAGAGAGACCATATCTACCAAAGATCTGGCACACAGCATTGAAAAGCCCGAAGACGAAGCCAAGTCACAGAAATCGCGCGGAAAGTACGCCTGAACTCGCCATAACAGAAAGTGCGCGAAAAATCAGCATTATAAATGACACGGCAGAAATGAGAGCTTCAGTTTCAGTTGACACTTCTAGAAGAGTACTTCGGCAACGCCACTGTAGATGACTGCCGCAGTTGCAGTTGAAATGTTTGGAGATTATAACCAAAGAGGACAACGGCAAAACCCGGAAACCAACCAAAACAGAAGTAATAATGACTCGAGTTATTACAGAAAATAAATAAAAAATTCTATCAATGAAACTGACAATCACTATTTCAGAATAATTTTGATATGAACATTAACAACTTATCTAGATGATAAGACATTATTGTTTACTCATACCAGAAATTTCACACCGTGAGTTCTTATTTCTGTTGATTTCATTAATATCACTCAGTAGTGCTCAGTTTCAATGTTTCAATCAGTGAAAAAGGGTTAATGAGTCGGATACAGAATTGAAATATATTTAAAATACAATATCATTTGACCATTACTTCCATTTGAAATTTTTTACATAAGTGTTGTTGTGGAAATGGGGCGGGTGACAAAAAATAAAGATGCAGAAATATGTCTCCCTGAAAACAGAAGTTAAAGCGTTGTCTCGAGGTATCTCGTTTTAACTGGAATGCATTGTACACATTGAGCCATGAGAAATTTTGGATTATATTTTTCAAGGATATATCTTACAAAACTTCAGTGCAGTTTTTCTTTTTCTGGTTCATGCGACAGAAACTGAAAGTGCGTTTATAAACAATCGGTTACTTCAAGCCCCACCGTCATTTCCCAAATGTTTCGAAAA